TCAATTCTAGCTTAAGAGCATAACATTGGCAATGCACTAAATTATGAAAAATACAATAATATATTTGAAACATTATGCATTTTTTATTATTCTAAAACAACAAAAAAATATTAATGTTTAAAAGTGACCAAATTTACAAAAATTAAGCCTAAAAAGCTAAAGAAAATATAACACTATATGCTTCTTTTTATTGGTGTTTATTTTTGGAGAGGGGGGGGATGAGGGGGGGGGGGGGTGATAGTTTACTACTAGACTATGGTCTTGTTCCAGAACTAGAATTTTGCGTGCTTATCCGTTTTACAAATGTAGCTTATTTTCTTGACGACTATCGGTCCCTCTCCTCTAAGGCAGATGACTTTAAAGGAAACTCCCCTAATTAGTAGTCTTTTACGACATGGTTGTTAGGAGGGGCAGTTGGTATATTATGCTTTCCCACAGACGGGGAGACCCCAGAACCCAAACGGGGAAATACTATATTTAACTGTATCATAGGTTATACAGTCGGCTCTGTGGCTAAGTCGATGCGAACGCTTCGTAATGCCAGGGTGCGGGTTTGATCCTAGCTGCGGGTCATGCGCCTTGCGGTGGTTTCGACAGTGGTATTAAGAAAGCCGACCGTCCAGAAGCAATGGCAAACTACTGGACTTAAATTTGCCTAGAAAAACCACACAACAGCCAGGGGCTGAGGGGGTTGGTTCTGCAACAAAAGGATACTCAACTAACCTATAGGTAATATTATGCGGTCTTTTTATGGTCGCGACAGATAGCGCAGCGTAGTCCAAACATGGCTTCTTCATTAAGTAGGCCATGGTTCAAAACGCCAGTTAACATTTAACTCCGATAAATCGATCTGGACACTATCGCATCCGAGGCGGGAGAACTGGCGAGAGACCGAGTTTCCTTCGAACAGACCGTCCTGAGAGCAACGTTCAAAGGATCTGCTACCTGATGATGATGATCACGACTACAGCATAGAGTAATTAATGTATCATTTTTACGTCATAGGTTCTATGGTGTAATGGTTAGCACTCTGGACTCTGAATCCAGCGATCCGAGTTCAAATCTCGGTAGAACCTTTTTTTATATATATACTTATTTTTTACAAAAAATATATTACATAAATGTTATAATGGATGTGCTTGCAAAATTGTATTTTTATTTTAGATTTCGAAACAAGTGTAAGTTATATCGTTTGTTGTCTTCCATTTGCAAAGGAAATGGGTGGAACTGCCGTCAAGTTGTAAAGTAAATTAGGAAATTAATTCTGTATATTGTAATCCATAATTTATTTATGGCAATTTTTGTCTAAATTTTGTTTGTGCTTGTTCTTTCAATAAACTAATGAATAAGAATTGACATCAATGAGCTCGGGACATTCCCACACGTGCTCAGTCTCCTTCCTCAGTCGCCAACGAAGAGTCTGTAATCAATGAGAATGTAATCTGTAAAGCTAATCTTCTTTTTCTGTATCCGTCTACAAATGTAATTGTGTTATGCCTGTTTACAGCATGGCTGCGATATTTTTTAATATGTTTCAGACTGATTATTTTGTTTGAAATGTGGAAACCCAACCCTTTAAAAAAAACGTGGTTGGACATCTAAGCCCACAGAAACGAACGGATCTGACCACACGTTATAAAGTTTGGAAATCCCGTTGTTTCAGTGCCAAGACGATGATGATGTAGAATGTTAATTAAATATACAGATTATTTTCTCATACACTAAAGATCAAACACATATACAAATTAAGGCTGAAATTACTATGGCTAAATAATTTATGGGTATTTTAAAATAGAAAGGTACTTTTCAATCACCCTGTAAGGATTTAACACTAAACAAAAACTACGTTCAGATTTAATACTAAACAAAAACTACGTTCAGATTTAACACTAAACAAAAACTACGTTCAGATTTAATACTAAACAAATACTATGTTCAGATTTAATACTAAACAAAAACTATGTTCAGATTTAATACTAAACAAAAACTACGTTCAGGTTTAATACTAAACAAAAACTACGTTCAGATTTAATACTAAACAAATACTATGTTCAGATTTAATACTAAACAAAAACTATGTTCAGATTTAATACTAAACAAAAACTATGTTCAGATTTAATACTAAACAAAAACTACGTTCAGGTTTAATACTAAACAAAAACTATGTTCAGATTTAATACTAAACAAATACTATGTTCAGATTTAATACTAAACAAAAACTATGTTCAGATTTAATACTAAACAAAAACTACGTTCAGGTTTAATACTAAACAAAAACTACGTTCAGATTTAATACTAAAGAAAAATTAGGTTCAGATTTAATACTCAACAAAAACTATTTTCATATTTATTACTAAACAAAAACTATGTTCAGATTTAATACTAAACAAAAACTACGTTCAGATTTAATACTAAACAAAAACTACGTTCAGATTTAATACTCAACAAAAACTACGTTCAGGTTTAATACTAAACAAAAACTACGTTAAGATTTAATACTAAAGAAAAATTAGGTTCAGATTTAATACTCAACAAAAACTATTTTCATATTTATTACTAAACAAAAACTACGTTCAGATTTAATACTAAACAAAAACTACGTTCAGATTTAATACTAAACAAAAACTACGTTCAGATTTAATACTAAACAAAAACTACGTTCAGATTTAATACTAAACAAAAACTACGTTCAGATTTAATACTAAACAAAAACTACGTTCAGATTTAATACTAAAGAAATTAGGTTCAGATTTAATACTCAACAAAAACTATTTTCATATTTATTACTAAACAAAAACTATGTTCAGATTTAATTCCTAACAAAAACTACGTTCAGATTTAATACTAAACCAAAACTATGTGTCGGATTTAAATACACGCTAAAAACTCAGAGGAAAAAAAATTCGCCTCGAGATTAACAGAGGAGAAAAACATGTGTATCTTTCGTTCACTGGTTCCATGGCGTAATGGTTAGCACTTCCATGGCGTAATGGTTAGCACTCTGGACTTTGAATCCAGCGATCCGAGTTCAAATCTCGGTGGAACCTGAATTTTTGTTTTTCCAGTATTCCAAAAGTTAGGTTATCAAATTATATTCCATGAATATATTAGCCCTTTAATACAATTCCTCATTTTGTGGTTACTACTCCCCCCCCCCCCCCCCCCCCCCCCCCCCCCCCAATCATACAATTATTTTCGTTGCTACTTTATAACTTCAATGAATATGTGCTTTCCGATGGTCTTTGGCGACCATTTTAAAAGGGTCGTTACCCACAGGCTGAGAAGCACTGACCTAAGGTAATCAGGAAATGGACAGGAAAAAGAAAAGTGAGGGAATGTAACATGGACATGGAATACCATGTATAGACATGGAGATCACCAGTGAATGCCTGATGTGTTAACAGCTACAGGATAGGGATAATCATATCGTAGCTTCCGGTCAAAATGGACTTTAGACAGCGGCACTGTTCGAAACAGAGGCAAATATTTTGCTTCTGCCGGACGGTGGCCGATGCTATTTTGCTCTATTTGTAGACTGGATATAGTTTTGTCGCCCAGCTTCTGAGTTGAATGCGTGGCGTGACCCTGTGAGCTGCGGATTGCATTTTGAATGTTTTTTTCGACTGTGACCAACGTGTTAGTGTGAATTGTAGATACGGAAAATGGCGCGATGCCTGTCGTGCAGTGTTGTGGTGCCCGTATGTGATTAAAATTGATCACGTGGGCAACTGCTGATCTGTTGGCGACTTCTACTACCAACAATGATGAACTGCAATTCTAATACTGTGATAAACATTCTGTGTATTTTTCGTTGGCACAGGAGCGGAGCAAAGATGGGGTGACCCGTTTGCTATGAAGCTGAAACTAAAACTACCAGACCAGACTAATCGTATCGTAAAAATCAAACAAAAATTCCAAGCTTAGTCCTTTTTTAGCCGCCTGAAGGCCTGCTTTATCAAGGACGGTTCCTTTGCTATCTTATTTTGTTCTGTTCCTATGTGGTGTGCAATTACACCTAAGATTGTTCCTTTGTTGCCTAAGTTCGATGCAGGTTTTAAGGGACCTGGTTCTTGGCTTTAGCTGGTTGTCCGCTGGCCATTGCACCGATCATCTGTGCGAGCACCGAGGCAGTCCCCAGTCACACCACCATGAAGCAAACAGTCCTGCAAACTGAGCGCCCAAAACAAGGCCCAATTTAGGACGACTGTCCCAATCTACTTGTTGTGCGTAACCGTTTTAATAAGTATAGGAGGTAACATTGATTTGCAAAAAAAAATTTTGATCGCCCGAAGGTGCCAAGAGATTTTATAGGTAGGTCGGGAGATGGAGAGAGACAGATAGCTTGCTAGGTTTGAGAGAGAGGTCCCTTGGGCTTTGAGCTTCTGGCGGGATGAGGCTCTACGCAATGCGTGCCCTTCGTGCGTTTTGTTCCTGGGTTAATAGCTCGTGGTGAGGTAGGAATTGGTCTCGTTCCCTTATCTTAAGGTAAACTGATTTATATTTTTAAGCATATGTTGTGAGAGAGCAGGGGAGGTAACAATGACATAATAGTTTGGAATCCACGAGTGGTGGTCCCCTTTTTGTGCTTTGCACTTTAGCTGGTTTGCCGCGGAGCAGTCGGGCGGCCTTTGGTGGGTTCCGTCGTTTTTATCAAAGTGTTAACCATTACACCATGGAAACGATACAACAAAACACCCTTGTGTTTTTTTTAAATCATGAAATCAATCAATCATTCAGTCTTTCAAACATTTTTATAATCCGTGGTTAATTTGTATCATTTTCATTTCCCCCCGTGTGGAATTCGTGGGCCCTATTGTGGGGAATGGTCATCTTTTTTGACCAAATCACGTATCATTGCCATTCTTAAAAAAAAGGGGGCGATTTACAAGAATGTCAAGACGACGACTGGCTTGCATTTCAAAGCTACACAAATAATACAGCAACAGTGTACGATCTCATATCACTGTCGTTTATCAGATTGGATTGGTTTGGAGCAGAAGATGTCCCGTCATGAAGGTGTCAGCTGTGATTCATGCATGAAAGGAAACTTCCGCGGTAAACGATACAAGTGTTTGATTTGTTATGATTATGACCTGTGCTCCACTTGTTACGATGCTGGTGCAACTACTACAAGACATACCACAGAACATCCAATGCAGTGCATACTCACAAGAGCAGATTTTGATGTATTCTACGGAGGTGAAGCTCTGACAGCAGAACAGCCTCAAGCATACACTTGCCCATATTGTTCTAGGATGGGGTTTTCAGAGAGTAGCCTTCAGGAGCATGTTACGGCAGATCATTCGGATACTTCCGCAGAAGTGGTTTGTCCTATCTGTGCTTCTTTACCAGGAGGAGACCCAAATCATGTGACTGACGACTTTGCAGCTCACTTAACTGTTGAACATAGGACACCCAGGGATTTCGATGAACCCCCTGGACTCCGCCATGTACGACGCATTCCACATCCAGGTCGAGGTGTCGGTGGTTCGAGAACACGCCGTGCCAACATGCAACACTTTGGCACGGGTGGCTCCACCCTGACAGGTCTTTCACCAAGTAGCAGAGAGAACATGGATCCAATCGCAGAGTTGTTGTCACAGCTGTCGAGTGTCAGGAACCGTGCTGCGGCAGCACAGAGTGTGCCCTCACAGCTCCAGCAGTTGGAGATGCAGTTACAGTCTACAAGACAACAGCTGGAACGCCTGCCACAGAGACCACCAGCAGAGCAGTGCAAGCCACCAGCCACAAGCCACCCTGTTCCCTCACAGTCAGAGCCAGCTAGCGTTTCAGGTGCTGCGGCCAAGTCAGATTCCCAGTTTCTTCTCACAAAATTGTGTGCAGAGAGTTCTTGCAATGATTTGGGTGCAAATGCAGGAGAGAGTGATCTTTTGCAGCGCAATATGTTTGCGCAGGAGCTGTTGCTATCTACATTAACAGAACAGCTGAGTTTGATAGCAGATGTTGATGCAGATGATCCCAGTTACATCCTGGAAACCCTTCGTTCTCCGGGAGTAGAGGGTGAACAGAGTTCACCATCCGCTCCAAAGGAGAACAGAAATACAAATGGGTCCCATGCCAAACAGCAGAACACCCGAACGGCAAACACAGCTGTGGGAGGAGCCGTGGATAAAACAGCCGAAGGTAGGGTAGCTAAGCCAGTGTCTGCTGGACCGGTGAAGGACAGTTCCTGGGGCTATGTGGACAGTGCTGCGTCAGCCGGCAGTCCTCGCCAAGTCTGTAGTCCCATCACTGTTGCAAACTCTGTGGCTATTCATAACCCACATCTAGGGTCTTCGGGAGGGGTAACTTTAGTACCAGGCAGGGCTACATCTGTTCCCCATGGGGGTAGGGACAGGGGTTTGAATCCTGCTTCAGCCAAACGGAGCATGCTCAAACACATGCCTCCACCACGGGGAGCTACAGACACAGACCAGCCACCCCATTAGTCCCCTTAACTGCCATGTATGAGAACCCTCAACCCCTTAATCTTTCTCGTTAAGTACTTAAGCTTGAAGGATTTCAGTGACCATCATTTAACTGATTACACAGTGTATTCAGTTCGCGTGATGAAACATCTAGCTCTTTCATTCATTGATTGCAAATAAAGTGCACCAAATTATGGTTGTTTGATATTTTCTGAACACAAGACTGACTTTAGAACAGTACTTTTATATTTCAGGAGTATCCCAAATGACATAAGCTTCATCTTCTTTCTTCTCCAAAGTTTTGTTAAATTTATTTATTTTATTCTCTAAACAGCAGTGTGCTAGTGTGTTGAAAATAGCGTTTGAAGGGAACGCTTGTGTTTGTGATATCCTTATAATAGTGTTTGCTTCGATTTATGTGTTAATATTTGTGTACTTGTGTGAAGGTCTACATGTTGTGTTCATGTGAGAGTGAGGTCCTTATTAATGATTCAAGTTTCCTTGAAACTGTGATATTGTGTTGTGCTCTTGTTTATTTTGACAATAAATCGTAAGTAGTTTAATCTCACAGTTTTAACTCCTCCTGCCATTGTCGTGCATATCCACATTTGTTGAATTCCCGACACATGAAAACGTGGTGTAATAGGTGGGGGTCTGTTTTGTCATTATATATTAAACAGTGGGTTTTGTTTCTATTTTAAGCACATGGAGGCTCATTTGTTTGCCACTGTAGGTACATGTTATAATGAATAATGGTACTTTGTGACCTGAATGATGGTATTTTGTGACCTAGCCATGAAATCATGACAGTAATGTTTTTAGTTGTACACACACATGAAGAATATAATTGTATGCTATTATTTGTTTATAATTGTTCATGATGAATAAAGGTTAATTACACCACTAAAAAAAAAAAAAAAAAAAAAAAAAAAAAAAAAAAAAAAAAAAATTATAGAACTTTAAGTCTGATCAGTCATCCCAGCAAAGTCATGCTCAAGATACTCCTGAACAGACTAAAGCCGCTTGCAGAAAAGATCATAGCAGAGGAACGGTCGGGTTTCCGTACTGGAGGAAGTACTACTAAACATATATTTAACAGATATTTAATCTACGCATATTATCTGAGCAATACCACCAGCACCCAAAAAATCCACACCATATATTCGTTGATTTCAAAAAGGCCTTTGATAGAGTTTGGCATGCAGCACTCTGGGACGCTATGAAAAAGTACAATATGGGTAAAACCCTAATACACAGTATAGAACAGCTTTATGCCGTCACACTGAACGGACAAATAGGGAGCTGGTTCCGGAACAACAGTAGGAGTCCGACAGTGCTGCCCCCTCTCCCCAACACTGTTTAATATCTTCTTAGAAAGAATTATTACTGACGCCCTAGAACAACATCATGGAACTGTTAGTATAGGAGGTCGAACTATTGCAAACTTAAGGTTTGCAGATGACATCGATGGGTTGGCCGAAGAAGAACAAGAGGTAGTCTAGCTTGTAAATCTGCTCGATGAAACATCCAAGAGTACGGCATAGAAATCAACGCAGAAAAAAAAAAGTAATGACTAAAAATTCAGATGGTATAAATTCACCAATGTACTTTCTTCTTCTTCTCCTTTTCTAGCCCCTGTATCGCCTTATGTTTGTAAACATCGGGAGAGTAATTGTTGTTTCGCCTTGACTTTCCAATTCTTTTCGTAGTCGTTTCACCTACCCTGTCTATTAATAACATAAAACGGTACAGGCGCTAGAGAGTGGGGACCCAACCACCAAACAGTATTAGACCGAGAAAACCACAATGTGGGGTGCTCGGACCGACTCGACGTAAAAGGGGATCGCTCCTGATTTTCACAACTTTTTTACCTTTTTGACACAAAATTTAAACTTCAAAACTTTTAATATCTAAGACAAAGTTAACCACCATCTTGGGTCCCTTGGTCTCAGTAAACAAGTTGGGGTGGGGGGGGGGGGGGGGGGGGTTCTGAACCTTGACCGAGGAGGACCCCACCACCAAACCTCTGAACCAGCCAATCCAAAAGTCCCAAAAGTCCACAAGGCCCTCAAGCTTCGCAAATAATACGGATAATTAGCGTCTAAACCTACTTAGTAGTTATTTCTTGTCATCTTTTTGTGAGATGCAATTTTTCGTTATTTGAAGCCCTACTCTGGCTCTTGCCAGGGGCCGCAATATAGCAAGGCCTTAATCATGGTCTAATGGCTGAATGCGGTTTCTGGGACCTCTCCACGGGTGATCCTTATCCACATGATGGCACTTTGTGTCATCGAGGGTTTATAGTCTGTGTGATGTCCTGGTGGGGTAAAAGAAGATAGACTATACCTACTGTGCACCTTAACAGCTGAACTCGAAAGGAAGATACAAGCATTAGAAATGCGATGTTTCATAAAAATTCTTGGCATGTCATACAGACCACATAATAAACGAAGATTTCCCCGGGGCCCCATTGTGGGGAAAACAAGAATAGACCCACTGCCTCCCCAAAAGCATGTCGTAAAAGTCGACTAATTGTGGAGCTTCCTTTGAAGTCGGAGTGCATCTGCCGTAGAGGCAAGGAACCAACAGTCTGTATTCAAGAGAATGAGATCTGTAAAACTGATGCACACGCAACACTCAGGTTCTGGAGCAGGACTGCAGTTCAGTAATGGACGAGCAACCAGAACTTTCCGCCAGAGTGTACAGCTGGTGAACGCAGAGAAGAAGAAGAAGAAGAAGAATAAACGAAGGGGTTTGGGATATAACTATACAGCACATTGGCATTTATAAACCTCTTTTAACTACAGTGAAAAGGGGGAACATGCAATGGTATGGACACGTAACGAGATCTAAGGGCCTCTCAAAAACAATACTGCAGGGCTGAGTAGAGGGAAAAAGGAGAAGAGGTAGACCAAGAAAGACATGGTTACAGAACCTGACTGACTGGACAGGCCTCTGGCATGCAACCATGAAGTCCATCGCAACTGACCGACAAAGGTGGAGAAAGCTGCTCGGACAGTCAACAGAAACTGGTGACCCAACGACACGCAGTGTTATGGGATGATGGTGATGACTGAGGGGGAAAACAAATAGACTCACTGCCTCCCCAACAAGCATGTCGTAGAAGTCGACTAATACTAATTGGGGACATCCTTCGATGTCGGAGTAGGTCTGCCTGAAAGGCAAGAAACCACAAGTAAAAATGTAAAAGAAAGTAAAGATCCCTTTTTACGCCTTTAGGCGTATCGGGCATATGGGAAAAGCGCCCATATTTGCACAGACCATCAGCACTCGGTTGGTAATGTGGTCAGCATTACGCCGGCTGTCTTTACTTTCCCAGGACAAGGAACCACAAGTCTGCCTTAAAATAAGCAAAATCTGTGAAACGTATATGCATTCTGCATTCAGGTTTTAGAATAAAAGTAAAGTCCAGAGGTGGACCAAAATCCAGAACGTTACTACTACTACAAGAAAAGATCATTATAACATACATTTACTAGTCTTTGACTGTAGTTTTGCTATTATGTCATTTTTAAACAAATAAATACCAAAGACCGCAGTGGGTTTACAACAGCTAACCTTTGATGTGGACACAGCACACACAAAGAAAAAAAAGTCAGGTTCCACCGAGATTTGAACTCGGATCGCTGGATTCAGAGTCCAGAGTGCTAACCATTACACCATGGAACCGATGAGTTTAGGGAAGTCTACTATTTTCCTTGTAATCTTCGTGATTATCAATAAATCATTAATAGTCTTCTGTAAACATTCACGTTGTTTCGTGTATTTTCATCGTGGTCTCTTACATTTCCACTTTTTCCTGATCGTAACAGAAGTCTTTCTGAGACATCGCGTGCCCATGGCTACCTACTTAAATCTTGTAAGTTTCTGACTGTTTGTTAGGGTGGGGGGGGGGGGGGTCGTTAATGTGAGGCATAATAAACAATAGTCCTCAGTGCTGACATCTGATTTGGTAGGAAAGCTAGTACAGTAAAATTTCATTAACACGAATTTCTAATAACCGAAACATCAAGCGTGACAGTCGTCCTGTGGGGGGCCGTGTTTTAGGACGCTCAGTGTGCGGGACTTTTTGTTTCGCGGCGGTGTGACTGCGGACTGACTTGGTACTAACACAGATGAACAGTGCAACAGCTAGCGAATAGCCAATTAAACAGGAACCAGGCCCCTCAGAACCAGAACTTAGGCAACAAATGAACAAACTCAGGTGAAAGTGCTCACCACAAAGGAAGATAAATAAAATAAGATAGCAAAGGAACCGTCCTTGAAAAAGCAGGCCATCAGGCGGCTAAAAAAGGACTAAGCTTGGAATTTTTGTTTGATTTTATACGATACGATACTTTAACACAAAATTGCGCGTCAACCGGGTGCTCAAATTAATGGTATTGCTGCTGTGACCAACATTGCGTCCACGTCAACCGAGTGTTCTAAAGTAGCTGGTATGCTATGAGTGTTCACAGGTCTACGTAACACTTACTTTTTTTTTTTTTATATTGAAGAAGTTTAAATCAGGAACAGTTATCTGTTGATAAAATATCAGGAGATGGACACATGAGTGCTTTTCTCTTCTTGTCTGTTTGTTTTCTACACTCCCTGTATGGGTTCCTGTTATAGGGAAAACAAGAATAGACCCACTGCCTATCCAAAAGCATGTCGTAAGAGTCGACTAATTGGGAGCTTCCTTTGAAGTCGGAGCGCATCTGCCTCAGAGGCAAGGAACCAACAGTCTGCATACAAATTAGTCAGATCTGTCAAACGGATGCACACGCAACACTCAAGTTCTGGAATAGGACTGCAGTTCAGAAGTGGACAAACAACCAGAACTTTACGCGACAGTTTACAGCTGGTGAATGCGAAGAAGAAGTTTAGTATACGATCTGCCCCAGTTTTACCCGACCGCGGTTTTGTACTAGTTTCATCCTGTGATTTATCTTATCATTTGAGAAGTGCAACTTTTGGTTGAGATTTGAGAACCTGGGACAAACTCTGACTTGGTTTTGAAA